CTTAGCACGGAATTCTCAACAAGTGGTGGCGCTAAAGTACTAAGAAATGTATGAAATGTTAATGGTTATGCATCTGCTACATAACTCGAAGGCAGTATTAGTCTGTGGCTGTCGTTGCCTCAGAAGAACTATAGGTTGTTCATATGAAGTAGGATTTTAAAACCGTGTTTGTAATTTACACTACATTTGTTTAATGATAAAACAAGCCATTCCTTTGGTCCGTGGAAATTTACATGACATCTTTTTGACTGCTCTACTTTCTAAACTGGCGTAATGGTTTTAGCTGCACACATGTAAGTATTAAACGGGTAATAATTAGACATTAAAACTTGTAAAAGGATTATAAATATGCATTTTGCGCTGGTGAGTAGCCTACTGACTATGTGTATAGTGTCACTGTAACAACAACAACAGCTTTGCGTTTCTTAAAAAAAAAGCTATTAAACGTGCAAAATTAAAAGTGAAGTCAACATATTAAGGATTTTTGACATCTTGTATAATAAAAAATAAGCATGTTATTTTTTAAGCCTACATGGAGTAACAAGACCGCAACAATAAAAAGACTTTTTTTGCAGCACACTCACATATACACTATGGAACAGACGAATTCATATTGATATTTCACGTTCACAGGTATTCTTAATGGTTTTGATTCTAACACTGAGTAAAACTACTTTCGTATTGTTTGTTAGCGTGATATTCGTAATGTTCAGGTAAAGTCAAAGGAAATAGCGGATTATCTCTACCTGCTGAGCTACGGTCACTCTTAATTTGCCATAATTATTATTATTGTTGTTGTTGTTTTGTTGTTATTATTCGTAGCAAGTTGTCGTTAACGTCTTTGCTGTTGTTATTAGAAATTTATTTAACAACCTACTTTAAATGCAGCATACGTTATCTACAGAGCGGGAATACTGATCATGAAAGACGATTTGTTTTTCAATAAGAAGCGTTTCCCATATTTTATGGGAAAATACGCTAGACTGTAACTGGGAATTTAACGAGTTCGAGAGAATATTAACATTCTAGGAGGTCAGCGATCAATGAAGTTGTTAGTAAACGTAAAGGCATTGTGGTCCGAAACCATTCTTTGGACCGTAGTAAATATCATGCTGTTTGCAAAACGTCATGTGCAGTAAGTGTATACACACTTACCTCTAGAGGTCTCTACGTACCCAACATTTACAAAAAGCAGTTCACAGAGATGTGGTATATGCTTCTGTAACGCCTACTTTCAAACCATTCTACAGTGGTTCTGCAGTTATTGTATTATATATTTTTTTCTGTGCATGTATACTTAAAGACACATGTTTACAATTAATCAAAACAAGGTCTTCAGGGTACCTGGTCATAATTTTCTGCTTCATGTGTCAATTTGTAATAGTTGTTTTCTTTAAATAGCTTTTGTTATGTTGATGCACTTCTATGTCAGGATAGAGAAATATTTATATTTAAACACAAACAAATAAATATAAAACACAAACTACAGAACAACCAAAGCCAGAGTACCAATTGTATCTATTAAATTTGTGATTGATTTATAGAATAATACGGTATATTAATTGTGGTGGTTTTAAAATATCACTCATTAAAACTGCTAGTTAAGATCTGCTGTATCATATTTGTATCATGTACTATAGTTCTCTACCACAACTATTATGACTAGGCCAAATCATTAATCGAGACAGCATATAGTTAGCAATGTAATATTTAATCTGTAATTAAGTTCTTAAGTATATTACATATTACACTTTTATGTGTGAAGTCATTTTGAACACGTTTATGCTTGTTACAAATCTTAAGAACTTATTTAATGCAATATACATGTTTACTGAGACATGGCATGTTTTTAAATTAGGCTGCTCTAAATTAGGGTACATATCCTTAATGAGTAATTCTGAGAGTTTAAAGGGTCATTTTTACTGGTATTTTATATAATTCTTTTAGAAATGTATCAGTCTTACGAGGATGTAGTTCTGTGTGTTTCCCTCAATATTCTGACTAATTTGCCGGCAATCTGCCGAAAAAATAGATCGGCACTGTGGTGTCTATCATCTATGCAAGGCTGTTTTATTTAAGGCATGTATACCGTATCCTATATTTAAAGATGCATGTTATTAGGTTTGCTAGATATATTACAAATAAATATGATCTGTAGGGTATAGTATTTTTATGTGCAGCGGTAGTAGCATAAATTAAGGTTCAAAACTGCACTTGTTCTCTATAAAATAGAACAACGTTTACCAGGGATGTGCATCAGAGCAGACATCAATTTTGAAATTATGCCTTAAGTGAAAAGCAGTACTGTTTGATGTCTTAAATGCAGTTACAAGATATCTCCAGTAACTACTTCTGCCCTATGCGAATGGCTTCTAGGTTACCAGTGTTTTCATCAACAAGGCATTTTTTTCGGGTGCTGTGGTATGCCACAATGTTATGATGGAGGGATGCTAAAGTGACAAGCATGGCAGACGCTCATTTTGGGCATCAAGATCTTAATTTAATTTTTGTTCTGGATTCCTCACTGCTAAGAAAGCGCTGACAACCCGCCGACTCTTAATGAGTGACGCGTTGAGACTGCTGCTTCAAAGTAACACATTTCTTGCGAGACCGCGCGCTGGGATGTTTAGTTCACTACTGTTCTCGCAAACGTAATCATGCAACCTGCAACCATCACAAAAAGCTGCCGAAAATTACTTATCGATGCACCAATTATCGATGCATCAATATTTTCCTTATATAATTTTTTTCTTTTGAAATCTCCAGCATATGAAATATAACATTAAAATGATTTTAGTTGTTTATAATTCATGTTATTGATTACTAACCCTAACCATAACGTGTAACATGAATCAGTGTTATCGCATAAATAAAAACGAATAAAAGCACAATGAAATCAAATCTTTGAGCTGTCAGTTAAGAAGGAAGAAATTACTGTTCATATTTATACATGGAAAAAAATCGTGTAACTACAGATAAAGTTTACACCATTAAAGGATTAATTCATCTGCTTTTCGTTATGCTGGGCGATTTAAAATATTAGCAGTTTGAGTCCAGGGACAATTCAGTACTGTTTTGACTATGTCTTTGTCTTTATTTGTAATTATTTATTTGTCTGTCAGTTTAGAGCAGGTGAAAATGAGTAAATATTTACTTTTGCTGCATACAGATAATCTACATCAGTTATCATATGTGAACCTTGTCATATAATAAAAAGGAGTCATCAGACTAAACTGTGTGGTTTCAATTCGTCACGCACGAACATGCACGTGCGCGCACACATATAAGTAGTTGTGTATGCCTGATCGACATACTTTATTTCATCAGTTAATTGCTGGCCGAGAAAAAAAACATCGTGTTTTAGATAATGAAATAAAGAAAGAAAAAACATCCAACACGCGCGCGCGCACATACACACACACCTAGGCTACCCGTTAAATAAAAAATAATATGTAATATCAAACTGTCTTCTACGTCGCATTTGCCTCATTTTATCTGTGACTATATATATATATATATATATATATATATATATATATATATATATATATATATATATACACACACACAGATACATTGAGGCAGTAGGAGACGACGTAGGAGAGAGTTTGATATTGGGGGAAAACCCAACGTAATAATAACGTAATGATTTAAACTCAAAGGTGTATTATTTACTGGGGGAATGTATGAATCCAAATTAAATGTTGTGGATTATACGTCCTCCCGTAGCCCCCCCCCCCCCGCCGGCCTCAGTCCGTACGACCCTGGACACGATTCACATTTCACTCAACTTTGCCGTGCCATAGATCGTATTCTGGGAAGGCAGAATGTGGACATGTGCGGGAGACTGGTCCAAATCGTAAAATACGTATGTGTGCGTTTTCGCGTAATCATATCGCCACGTGACCTTCAGCGTTTACCAGTTGTAGATGGCACATCAATGAAATTTCCTTCTACACATTCAGCATTGAAACTTCTGTACTTTTGAAGGCACTATCAATAATGTTAACTGCCCTCTATTCCACTTCTACAGTATCCATAGTTTCAATATTCTATTATATGGAATGTTCTATAATGTATTTCGTAATGTAGGGCCAGACTGCGCTATCCTGATTTCTACATTAAATATAAATATTATCTATTGCTGCATTATTATTTTAATGCTGTGTTGGTTGTCTATAAATCCTTTGTTTTAAACTATGAAATGTAGGCCTGTATAATACATCAAGAAATCAACAAGTTATTTATCCACTCCTACATGGTCACGTAAAATTGTTACTTATGACTTATTCCAGATCACTATTGTGGCATAATTGTGTTATACAAACCACTCTGAATTATCCTCAGAAATTAATGCGCTTGGTGACCTATGCCAGGCATTTCAATGTCACACACAAGACTAAACTCAAGTATATTTTCCCTAGAGATGACACACGTGAAAAACAAGCTCTCTCTGGATAACACTTAGGCCTTTGTAATATATTCGCAAACAAATAAAAAGAATTTAAATTACTCCTGTTTACCTGTATGCATGTCATATGTAGAACTTATTACTGGGTGTGAAATCAATTAAATTTAGTCTTTATATATATATATATATATATACATATATATATATATATATATATATATATATATACACATACATACACACACACACACACATGTATGTATGTATGTATGTATGTGCTACACATATGGTTGTTTTCAATATCATGTGCAACAGAGACATAAAGTAGTACCTCTACTGTACCATCACTTTTCTATGTCGTTGTTCTTAAATTGAAAAATAAAGAAAATACAGAGAAATTTAAGACCAGTTGAATGGATGAAACTGATTTTAACTATTTTCATGTATGATTTAGAGTTGATAATGGATACCTTTGTTGATGGGACTGAGCTACATTTTGCGTTTCTTTGGTGAGCCTTGTGTATCCTTACGCGCTTGAACAGCTGCTAATATCTGTTCAATGATTGGCTAGAAGGGGAAGAGACGCGTTAATACTTACGGTGCTGTGGTTGGTTCTGGTCTAAAAAGGTTCAACCAATTTTTTTGCAGCTTACTGTCTGTGGCTCCGTAATTAATTGTAGCTAGCAGTCTCTTATCGACGTGTTTTAAAAGAACATGAAGTAGTTGTTGTTTTTATTATAGGAGCTGCCAGCGTACGAGATTGAGATCCAACTGTGCTGCTGTTGTTGTCATTTTACCTTGCGTGTGATGTTGGATATGGGAGAACGAAAAGAAGTGAAAATGATTCCGAAATCATCGTTCAGTATAAACAGCCTCGTACCAGAAGCCGCTCAGAGTGATAACCACCATAGATCGCTTGACGAAGAGGAAAAGATTCCTTTACCTGACCCAGGACAGGACTTGAAGTCGGAAAGTCTTTCCTGCAAAAATGATAATTCTTCACCCGAATCAACATGCACAGACGAGAAGGAAAAACAGGAAGAGAAAAAGGATTGCAAAGAAGGGGATGGTGGGAAGGAGGGAGACAAGAAAAATGGCAAGTATGAGAAACCACCTTTCAGTTACAATGCTTTAATAATGATGGCCATCAGGCAGAGTCCGGAGAAGCGGCTCACCCTGAACGGTATTTATGAGTTCATCATGAAAAATTTTCCATATTATCGAGAGAACAAGCAGGGTTGGCAGAATTCCATCAGGCATAACCTCAGTCTAAACAAATGTTTCGTTAAAGTCCCGCGGCATTACGATGACCCTGGTAAGGGGAACTACTGGATGCTTGACCCCTCCAGCGACGACGTATTCATCGGCGGGACAACAGGCAAACTTCGCAGGAGATCGACCACCTCTAGGGCCAAGTTGGCGTTTAAACGAGGCGCTCGCCTCACTTCCACTGGACTGACATTTATGGATAGGGCTGGCTCTTTATACTGGCCAATGTCACCGTTTCTTTCGCTACATCATCCGAGGGCGAGCAGCGCGTTAAGCTATAATGGAACAACTTCAGCTTACCCAAGTCACCCTATGTCTTACAGTACAATGTTGACTCAAAATAGTTTGGGGAACAACCACTCTTTCCCTGCTTCTAATGGCTTAAGTGTCGATAGACTTGTGAATGGAGAAATTCCTTACGCCACTCACCACCTCACGGCAGCAGCCTTGGCCGCCTCTGTGCCATGTGGTCTGTCTGTGCCCTGTTCTGGCACATACTCTTTAAACCCATGTTCCGTTAACCTGCTTGCCGGACAGACTAGTTACTTTTTTCCTCACGTCCCCCATCCATCAATGACTTCTCAAAGCAGCACATCAATGACGGCCCGGGCCGCTTCTTCCAACTCACCGCAGGCACAGTCATCCCTCCCATGTGAATCCTTAAGACCATCTCTGCCAAGCTTCTCCTCGGGACTTTCCGGAGGACTTTCCGATTACTTCACACATCAAAATCAAGGGTCTACTTCAAACCCACTTATACACTAACAAACATCCACAGGATCAGACTGTAAGTGAACATTTTACACACATTTACATTGTAAAATATATAAAGGGGAAAGTAAACAAAGAAAAAAACGAAAGCAACTGAATTCCAGGTATTTTTTATTAAGATTTCCAATTTCTTTCTATACACATACGTCTAGTGTCGGGGGTTGTTTATTATCCACTGTCTGCAACGTGCAATGTGAGAAGAAAAAAAGCGAAGATTAAACGTAGGTTTTGGAAGGCAGTATAATTACCGTAGAATGTGTATTTAAATTGTGATTTCAGATTTATCTAATTTTAATATAAAATATCTACTACCATCAGTTCAACCGCCAGATGTCCATGTTTGCAGTATTATCACGTATCATGATTGCTCTGGTGGATTATGATTTTGCTAAATTAAACACTAATTTGTATTGTTATTTTCAAATAAATGTGTTTTGAAAGTACAGTAAGAACGCCCGTACTCAAACCATGGCTTTTTGTTATTTTGTCCTTTTCCTATAATCAAATAAATACATGAAGAAACATTCCTTTACAATTTTGTTCTTATTATTGTTACTTTTTAGACCAAAGACTGGATTTAGAAATACTCGAGTTATTTGAGTATTAAATAACACCTAGACGAATCGTTACTGAAGGGGACAAAATCAATGAATGCCTTTAGCTTGTGTTGTGCATATTTTAATGTATGTGGTCACGACCAGGTCACATTTCTTTTTGTAATTAGAAAAATGTTAAAGCCTATTGTGATTATAGGTTAACTTTGCGAACGTGTAACTCGTGTTGAGTAAATGCCTTATAAGGTACTGAGTGATTGTTAATGTCGTCTTTAAATTTCATGATTGTGATATTGTGGTCTTATGCCCGTGTTTGTCGCTTTACCGAACAAAATAAAACAATAGGTTACGTCCATTTATCATGAACACTTTGTCTTTTTTGCAGTTGGAATAGAAAGAAAGAGGGGAATGTCCGCGTTTTTAAGTGTTACACGAATACTTAAGTACTTCTGAGCGGTATCGTGCATTGGCAGGTCCTAGGTTATTTCTGTCTCCCAAGTAAAAAGCGATTGAAGCTAGTTTCGTCATCCTATAAAATAGTTACAGTGTGTTAATTAACTATATCGCTAAATCGGATTTTAGAATTGCGTAAATCACATAATAACGAACATTATTGATTTATACCAAAGCTGTAATATGATTAAATGTAAACATATAACTGATATCCGCGCAATAAAATTCAAATATAATTCATTGTTGATAAATATAGTTTTTAGGGTTGATGGCTCTCTACTGTTTATCCACAATTTAATTACTGCTAAATATTGACACGCACATACGGACATACACATATATGCAAATACTTATCCGCATATAGACAGGTAGACTTGAATAGATTTTATGTTTACAGTTTATCAGTTACCTGCAAGATACAGTACATAAGTTCCTTTTATTATTGTTTACGGTCTTTTATTGTTATTTTGGTGGATATCATTGTTGTAGTGTTTGTTCTTGTACATGATATTTGTAAAACACAGTTGTTTGGGCGCGGGAGCGTACCTGAAAAGTTTTCTTTAATCCGAACCCGCTTACATCTAAAATGCAGTATTAATTTAGAATAAAATGGTTTAATCCAATATATATTGCAATTTTATATAATTCAAGCTTTTTCATCTCTATATTTTACCTGTAATTTTAGAAAACAGTTTTTACATGCTCTTGAATTTGATGGGACAAAAGACGGTAATAGGATATAAAAAATAAAATCCAATGTAGTTAATTTTATAAATAAGGATCATAATAAATTTGCTTAATTTTAAGGTAATAATGTGCAATATAACCACCGATTTTCTCAACAGAAAGGAGTCTTTTTTCAAAATGATATTCTTAACATGTTAAACGAGTTGGCTTTGAACAGGCAGAAACCCCAATGTGTTTTAAACAATGCATTTCCTATTAAAATGCTTTAAAATCAACAGATCAATTTAAACATGCAGTGATCTGGGTTAATTTATTTAAGTTGTTAACATATATTCAACTCATACTTAGTAAACATATATACATACAGCATTTTTCAGTTTGCGTAGAATTTGCTTAATCTATATGGTCCATGAAGGTACCACAGTACTTTTTACAGTGTACGTGCTGTCCCCGCTAAAATATAGGTATTTAAAGGAATGCAGGCAAATCGATGGTGGTATATTACTAATAAACACACACAATTACAGTGAGTAATTTTCTTTTATATTTTTGCACATTGCTCCGTGTAAAGCCTAAATATTACAGAATTTAACATATTACATTATGAATAAACATTTGTTTTTACCAAGGGCTGATATTAAAACGTTTATGATATCATCAATTCAAATATTCTATTATTTCTCAAGTTCTGAATTTTTCTATGTTTACGGAAAAAATAGATTATGGACACTAAGATTCTAAAGTAAGTAGTTCGTAGTGTAATCCGAATTTCGTTTTGTGTAAATTAAACGTGTACGCGAAAATAATATTAAACGGCGTATTTCATTTAAGTTACTTAATAAATACATATATGAATATTTAATCATTCAATTAATATTACTACCGTATTTCTATTTCTAGGTGCAGACACTAGTATTTCAAGCGAGCGGAAAATAAGAACTAGAGAAGGACAATTTCTGTTTTATATATATGTATATGAACATTACGATTAGAGAAGATGATAATTATTTGGAGTCAGTACAAAATGGACGTCAAAAAGCGATTGCGCGAATTTATTATGTAAGGGAAGACGATGTTTGTGTTTTAGGATCGATGTCTCTTGGCCGAGAGATAAGAACCACGAAGGCGTGGTTCTGAACCAGAAGTTCTTCGTCTAAGCTGCATTGTACAGATAATACACACACACACACACACACACACACATTCACTGTTCCTTATATATATATATATATATATATATATATATATATATATATATATATATATATATATATATATATATATATATATATAATGAACAGTTAACAGTTCAGACATCACCCGTTCCTGTAGTTATTTTTTTCCTGTCCATACCTCTTTAGCTCAACGGAGCATTCACAGTATTTGTTCTATTAGAATTTTACGTTCTTACGTTTTCCCACTTGAAAATAATGTTTTGTATCGCAATTTTTCCAGATTGGAGACAAGCAACACATCCTTAGGCCTATATAATTTCCATACGTGAGTACTTGATAAAATACTTTTTTAAATATTGATTTTTTTTATTGGTTAGTCACGGGACAGTCAAATTATATTTCAATTCATATATTAGCAATCCCGCCCCCCGCTTTTCGCAAATATGAATGTTATGCCTCTGCGTTTAACTTGAATATTTTTATTATTGAAGGTGATGCGCTGGGATTTAGTTTTCATAATATGCGTTTTATTTTCGACACTTAGATGTTTCATTTTAAAATCATTGCACATCTATGCAAATCTGGATCGCATCCGATGCTATGAATATGTTGACACTGCAGTGTTTCAGGTAGTATAATCATGTTAAAATTAGCATTAAAATAAGTATGCGTATCTCAGGAATATTGCATGTATTTCTTGGCTGAATCCAAAATATGGGTTAAATGTATAGTTTAACAATTTATGGGGTTAATGTACTGTGTAATTGCTATTTTACAGTGCAGACTTTGCGTGCCAACGAAAGGAGCAGAGGCACAGAGAACAGAAACGGTACTATTCATTGTTCTCTTTGGTGAGATTTCGACTTTTATCCTTGTTAATATATTACATGAAACGTATGGTTCACTGTATTTGTTATGGCTCGTCCATAAATATCTTTCTTGCAGCCAAAATATGTAAGGTTAGAACTATTTGTATTGATGTGGTGTTTTTAAATTAAGATAACGGATTAACCATAGACATATTAAGTTTCACTAAAACAAATTTTACTGCACATGAATTTACCAGAAAGCGGTTTAAAGAGGGGGAATCTTTTTCATCGCATATCTATTTTGTTACACTCAATTTAAAAATGTAATGACGTTTTTATATATTTAGAAAAACACTGGTTGTTTAACATGATTCTCGAAGAGGTGGTGATCTGGAAGACGAAAAACAATAAAAGATTAGGTTCAAAGAAATCTGAGAGCGGCAGATTGAGGGCGCTCGAATCCTACCGTAAATATCGGTCTAATCAGCATTTTTTTCTGCATAGCTTTTCAGTTAATAACCAGAATAATATTACTTGTAACAATTTCATAATATGTACACTTAGTATTAGCTTTAAAGTGACCTTTTTGCAAACATTTAAGTGCATTTATATATTGAGATAGAATTTTGATTAAAGTGGATATTTTTTTAATTAACGATGTAATTAAACCGAGCCAATTAAAATAACCCGAGACTGCATTATTGCAATTATCAATGACATCAAGTTATTTAAGAGGCAAAGTAAACTTTTTTATTATGTTGAAAAGAGAAATATAGGCCTATCAAAATTAATGAAAGCCGGCGTATAGCCGTAGCAAACCCGTTCCCAGATTATTTGTACAAACTTTATGTAAAACATTCTGTGTATAAGAAAAGTATCATTATTAGCCATTTTGATCAACTTTTAAAGAGTAATAATGTGAGGTAAATTTCTTAGAAAGATTTATAAAACTATTAATTTACTGGAGCATATTTTAAACATCCATTTGTTTGATTGTAAATAACATATAATCAATATATTTATACGGTAATTAGATTTCGCGATTAGTTTTTGAGAAAACATATTTATCCTTTTTATTTTTTCTTAGACGAGGGGACGTAGGCTACTGAGATTATGACGATTTAATCTAAACTGCGGATAAATTTTAAATATTTTGTCCATTACGTGGATATGTTTTGGCAAAGTAAAACATTAATATTTAGTAGGACTCATTGAAAACGCTGTGAAAAACGCATATTTGTTCACGTTTTATTATTATTTTTAAAGAACAATGGAGTTTAACAGGAAGCTTATAAAACCCAGTACATATTATCAAAACCTGTACGAATACTAGGATTAATTGACAATTTGATGTTAGCCTTATAGATTGTGTAGAGGAATGTTTCTAAAAACAGAGATTTTTACACTAAAGTTTAAACTGGAAATCTTTAGCTTGTTTGAAGTTTACTTGAAGCAACAATTTGCCATGATGTTTCCACGGCCAATCCTTTCTATACTCTAAACTCGTCATGCCGGACGGAAACAGAGGGATTTGTGTGAATGAATTAGAAGACACTCGACAGATCGTGAATAATTGTTTTAATAGCCAAGCAAAGCGTGCGACTGGGTGCACAGAGCTGTCGGGTTAAACAAACAAGTTGTACCCTGACAAAATCGGATTGTTAAAGTGCAAAGTGGTGTCATTCCAATTTACCTTCCCTTACCGCAAAACCACAGATCTTACAGCCGGGAGTTCAAATGTTCAAATTAAACAAATATAACAACATTTTCTTTTAGTGAATCTGATCTTTATTTGTAGTACCGGAGCAAACACTACCGCGACAGATAGATGATCTCTGATTCTTCAGCGCTAACCGAAGGTAACATTTATTTTAAAAATCTTATAACCGATAAATACAAATATTTATGGACTCAATTTAATTTTTACAGGAGTATGTATTCCTTCGGGCAGCTTTACCTCTTACACATTATATATGGATAATATGGTTAAAGTTGGAGAAATCGCAAAACAAACAAGAAATAACACGTATCGCCTGTACATTATTTCTGTTTATTAATTATCATTATCGTCAGTGCTAGCGTATTTTCATTGCATATATATCTCGTTTCTAAATATTTATGTTAAAAATACATTTAAAAATACATTTAAAAACGCGGACAAACGCATGCACAAAATACACATATTTGACATTCATAAATTTTGCTCAGTTTATAAAATAAATAGATGTAATGGGT